GAAGAACATTTGTGCTAAGTTGTATTAAAACCCATACACGTATATGGAAGTAATTTCAATGTTTTATTTCGTTATTTAACCTTGACCCCTAAATGTGACCTTGACCTTTTCCACATCTGAATATTTCGCGCGACACTCCGCCTAACTGTGGAGAACATTTGTCAAGAGTAACATTAAATCCCTCCATGCATTCGGAAGTTACGATCCGGTTTTGCACTTACCCCCAAGTGTGACCTTAACCTTTAAAAGGCGGACCTGAATTTTATGTTCGACATACCACCTCATCATAGTTAACATTTGTACCAAATTATTTTGTAATCCTTTTAAGAATGAGCAAGATTCAGCGCAAACAAACGCATTCTTATATTTTTATTTGACCTTTGATCTTTTGTTACCTTGGCCTTAATTTTGCACAAGACAACTCAACTCAACATGGAGAACTTTTGTGCTTAGTAATATTTAAATCAATCCATGTATATAGAAGTTATACTCGAAAATGAATGTGTTATTTTATTATTTGACATTTGACCCCTAAGTGTGATCTTGACCTTTACCACATACACCTACATTTTTCGCGCGACACATGTTCACGCCCGGCAAACTGTCGCTCCACTTCAAAATTGTGGTGTACGGTAAAACGAGCGAACGGCATTTCCGAGATAGAGCGGAAGGCCGATTTAAACGCCTAATTGTAAGTATTGTTTATGTTTTTGTCTTGTTATTCATTTAAGTTGTATTTTTTCGAAAAACGGAAAATGTAGTTCCGTGTAGGATTGATATAGGCTTCCAATGATCTAAGCTGTTACAAAAAGAAAATAATATTAAGCCCGGGAGAACTTTTCTCCCTGACGAAGCGAACGATGATTTGTAGAATATTGAACTTCCCAACCATAGAAATGCCATACCCTTCGGATTTCTTGAAAAAGTGTATTAGTAAATTATCAACCCGTAATAAGAACTTGTCCTTCGTGCAAAATAAATTACTCCTGAAGGATTTCTTAAATTTGTAAATCGATATTTTTCGAAAGTAGTGGAGCGAAAGGGCAAGAGATGGAGCAAAAGGTTCGATGTTGAGCGCAAGGCGATATTAATATGACGTATTAGGAGGAGCGTAGTCTATGATTTTTATTTATATAAAAGCTATAGAAGGTAAAATAGACATGATCAAGTGTTTAGACCGAGATATATATTTACCTTTTAAAGACAACTAATAAAGTGTAAAATCCTTTCAACGAGAGGAAAATAAAAAACTAAACAACAATGCTAAATAAGGGAGGAAGTATCTTGAAACATAACTGAAACACGTGTTATATCCTTATAACGACTGACACCTTGTCAACCATTTTCATAGCGAGTCCTCACCTTACAAATTCATGAAAACGTGGCTTATTTGTGTTTGCTCTGAACAGGTACGTTAGAGCTATAAATAACAGAAAGTCATTGTGAACTGAACTCGGTAGTTGTGATCCATATAATTTAATGTGTTCCATGTATTGCATAATTTTGTTTATGTTCTGCACCTTGAATATCGAAGTTTCCGAAAAACATAACATTTTGGCGTGAACAATCGCGTTACACGTACCTGCTCGGAAACATTTGTTCGCGGTAGAACTGAAAATATTTGATTTTGTCGAATTTGCACGGACACACGTTTTTAAATGTACATAACCGTGTGAAAATCATGATTGACTTCGAATAAGTGGCATCCTGTATTATGCCATGCATACATGTGTATGATTCAATGGTCGGGCCTCATCCAAATTTCGAACATAAATAATGAAATATACACGGCAGCCATAGGTGACACCTTCGCGAATACATTTATTACGCTATAGTTGTTGAAAGGATATCACACTTTATTAGTTGTCTTTAAAAGGTATATATATCTCGGTCTAAACACTTGGTCACGTCTATTTTAACTTTTATAGCTTTTATATATAAAAAATCATAGACCACGCTCCTCCTAATACGTCAAATTAATATCGCCTTGCGCTCAACATCGAACCTTTTGCTCCATCTCTTGCCCTTTCGCTCCACTACTTTCGAAAAATATCGATTTACAAATTTAAGAAATCCTTCAGGAGTAATTTATTTTGCACGAAGGACAAGTTCTTATTACGGGTTGATAATTTACTAATACACTTTTTCAAGAAATCCGAAGGGTATGGCATTTCTATGGTTGGGAAGTTCAATATTCTACAAATCATCGTTCGCTTCGTCAGGGAGAAAAGTTCTCCCGGGCTTAATATTATTTTCTTTTTGTAACAGCTTAGATCATTGGAAGCCTAAATCAATCCTACACGGAACTACATTTTCCGTTTTTCGAAAAAAATACAACTTAAATGAATAACAAGACAAAAACATAAACAATACTTTCAATTAGGCGTTTAAATCGGCCTTCCGCTCTATCTCGGAAATGCCGTTCGCTCGTTTTACCGTACACCACAATTTTGAAGTGGAGCGACAGTTTGCCGGGCGTGATGTTATTCTTCAAAAATAATACAATATATAGTCCGGACAAATCCGTACGCACTGACGGACGGACGCACTTATACCGAACTATTCCCAAAAATGGTGACTAAGTCGAGGTCACCACAAGCGGGCTCGACAATAAAACAATTAAATGGGACAGACATTGGTAGTCTTGATATGGTTAACCACCCCGGTCATGTTATCATTGAAATAAAGAACAAAAAAGTCCTTTCTTTTAAACAATTGTTTTAACAGAGGAGTAGTCTCAATTCCGGATTTGTCACGCGTAAAGTTTCTACTGTATTTTTAAAACGTTGTATGAAGATAGGCAGTCTTGATGACTCGTTCCTAGTATGCAATATGGAACGAATTAAATATTTTTCTTCTCCGACTGCCTGGTATAAAATGCCAGTTTAAATTTTTATAATGGTATATAATTTAAAATGTTTAAAACGTTTAACATTTTACCAATGCCACTACTTCCAGGTTGTGCAAGATACAAGAAATATCCACAATCGAAATTACTTGAACGATTGAAACTGCATCCCACGCTTGGTTCTACAAGAATATGTAAAGAAATATATAAAATACATATCAATATAAACGTCGTATAACAAGCCATCATCCAACAATTACACAGAGTATCTAATTCACTCTAAGTTTATTAAATACCTGTTTTTGTCTCTAAACAGACGTCTTTAGTAATTTTACAATTGAAACAAAAATATCAGCTGCGCCATTCCATTGCTGTTATACAAATAATAGTATATCGAATTAATTTTTTCAAAGCTACAGTACAGATTAAAATAGTTCAGGAGATTGGTTTTTGGAGAGTATGAATTTTATAAAGTTCAAGGACAACTATGCTAGAAGATATGATATGTGTAATTACCGCAATTATTTTCGTCACTTCCATCCGTGCAATCTTTGAAACCATCACACTGCAGTGCTGGGGCGACACACTCATTATTTAAAGTACAATTAAATGTTGTTTCATCACAATCTAGAAAATAATTGAAGTACAGGAATATCGTTCTAAATAAAATGCATTTAATGAAGTAAGTAAAATATTAGGTTCTGTTTTAATTTTTTTTTTTTAAATAAGCATAAGAAAAACTGTGACATCTGTATCATAATTATTCTCTTATAAACACTCTAAATAGTACGTCAAAGAACGTTGATATTTTGATAACCATTGAATGACATAAGCACAACGTACATGAGCCTATTTATGATTAAGTGAGTATAATTATTTTGTATTTTTTAACATTTCGTTTTAAAATTAGACTTTTATTTTGATATGACAAAGTGGACTCTTTAAAAATATATTGTGTGGCAATAATACCTGAGACTGATTAATGTTCGCGAGCTTTTTTCCTTAATTTTCGTAATTGATCACGATTTACCAGCTGATTTTAATGATAGTATGGTTCTCGATAAATTAATTCATAATAACGTAGAAATGCAGCTGGTGTCTTTTTTATTTTCATAACTTTGATATATACACATAAACGAGTATATGAGTTTTGATAATTTCAATATCTAAAGTCGAACAATAGGCGATTGGTATGCACAACAACATAGCAGTAAAGTTTTGTAAATTATAAAGGAAAAGAAAATATAAAAAAAAATGTTTTATAAATATTCGAACATACAACCTTCAATTTGAAAATCTTAACTCTTTACCACTGAGGCTAGTCAGGCAAGTGTTGTGTTAGTAACTTTAAGATAAACATTTACCATATACTAGTATATTGTATACCATTATGCCATACTTTTAAATCCGATTTACTTCGGAATCCGGTAATTAACGGTAGAGGGTCAATGAATATTCAAACAAACAATAATATTTTTCCAGAGATTTGGTACTGTTAAAAGTCATTCGATGTCAACACTCAATAATAAACAATAAAAACACATTACCACAGCGTTCGTCTGCGCTGTCCGTACAATGTCTGATACCATCACAAATCATATCTGGTGAAATACATCTCCCATCACACTCAATATCCGCGACAAAATCGCAAGATAATCCTTTAAGAAAGTAATATTCAAATGAAAATAAACGCAAAAAATAACATATCGAGGTCTTTATATTAATTTAAACAAATTTCAATAAAACTGTGATATCAGTGTTAAAAGTTTTGCCTTCCGTTAAAATACAAACAGAAATATAACGAAAAGATTATCGCGGTATGGAAGTAAATGTACTTGTTGTTGTTGGGTTTAACGTGGCAACAACACAGAATAGGTCGTATGGCGACTTTCCAACTTCACTGGTTGAGGAAGACCTGAGGTACCTTACTATGCATAATGTCAGGTACGAACGGACACATGAGTAGAACCACCGACGTTCCATAAGCTAGTTGGAAAGCTTCTTCTCAAGAAATAATCCAAAGTCCCTGTCTGGATTCGAACCCACAGTGGTGAGGTGGGAGTGGTTTAAAATCAACGACCTTAACGACTGGGCCACGGACTCCCCTTATGTACTAGTTGTATGAAACCTAGCCCGACAGTTTATATAACTTAAGTGTGTTAGTTTTACTTTTCGCATAAATGTCAAAAGAATTTATCATAAAATAATCAAAATAAAATAATATATTTATAAACACTTTTTTGCTTGTTTAACAGCAAAATTTGATTGGATGTTAAAGGACTTGAAATTTTAATCCTCTGAAAAGGACATTATCACTGTCAAAGCCATAGTTGATAAAGATGCAAAATATACAGTGAAGGATAAGTGACAAAATCGGGCCTTTGTGCGTCATATGTGCGTTCTATCTTGAAAGGAAAGTTAAAGTTAAGGAAAATGTGCGCCCGTTGGATCCTTCATTTGCTTACTTCTGACCAGAAAGGGACGCCGGATGAACAAGTCTCGCCCTGATTGACTAAGTTTGAAGATCGAGACCTTAGACGCCAAGCAGAAATTGTCAAAGTGAAACATGGCTTTATTTTTTTGAGCCAAGCAATAAACTCAGCAACAAAATGTTTGCAGTTGAAAACAGCGATCGCCCAGTTGTTGCTCGACGTAGCAGGGACGTAAAAAGAGTTCTATAAGCTTTATTTGTGGACAGTGATGGAATTGTGGCCCATGTAGCTATGCCTCAGAGGGGGTGGAGTCAATGGAACATTTTACCGTGACAATGTTGTCACTGCTGTAGTTATTCCCTACAGGAACCTAATTTCCGGGGTGTGATGGATCAAATTACTCCATGATAATGCCCTGCGCCTTGGTTCTAGCTTATTTAGAGAAAA